AGTATTTTTGAATTATTTAAACAAACTAGAGAGATACAAAATCAAAACCATAAGTAAAGAAAGCCTTCGAATTAAATTGTTTTGTAATGTTGAAATGACTTAGCCATCTAGATCAAGATTTCATTTCAATTTTTCATTCTCTCCAAAACTATCCAGTCTCTTTCACCACTCTCGCATCCTCATGACCTTTGTCATCCGCCTCCCCAACTCCCACTCTTTTAATTTTTTCATCTGAACTTGCTAGACTTCAACTATTTTGCCTCTAAATTATTAGCTTTTCCTTTCTACCTACCTAACTCCTACTCTTTCAACATGCTCAATCTTTTAACCTCACATGACACGACATATTTCCAGCTATAGCCTTAACCCGAAACCCAACACGAACTCGACACGAAAATAAACGGGTTAACACGACACGACATGTTAATTAAATGGTTCGGGTTAGGGTCAAGCACTTTCAACCCGTTTAGTGTTTCGACACGACACGATTGCCACCTCTAGTGAAAACTAATAAAAGGAAGAAGGGTTTTCAGGATTTACATGCTAGGTTCGTGGCGTTACAACTTGTTCATAGAAACATTGACATAATTGATAGTCATTGATCCTGTGCTGTGATCACTAGACCGACAACTTCTTGAAACTCTCCCAATAAGTATAAATTATATTTTTCCTTCTTTTTTATGGCAAGCATTTATTTGTGGAGGTTGGATACTTTCGCTTTTGGAAAATATTTTTCCAGAAAGATCTTAGCTAACTCGTTCCATGTAGTGAATGATTTAGAAGGGAGATCATACAGCTACACTTTTATTACGTCTTCGATAGAAAAGCAGAATGCCCTGAACTTGATCTGGTCTTCGGTTATAGCGTATGGCTTCATCCCAGAACATACTACGTGAAACTCCTTGAGTAAGTTATACAAATCTTTATTTTCAAGGCCTTGGAAAGTCAAAAGAAGATGAATCAATACATACTTTAGCTCAAAGTTTTGAGCTTCTGGAAAGGTGATACACAAAGGCTATTGTGTAACATCTTGTGTCTCAAAGAGTCTATTCAGGATCATCTCCATGTTTGCTTATAGTTGGTTCTCTTTTAGGATCTGAATCATAAGGTTCAGGTGTTTCGAATTTGATGGAAGATGTGGGTGAGTAAATTTTAAATGGATTGTGGGAAGGTGAGGATTGAGGTGCTTTGGGAAAAGAAGATAAGGTTGTTTCAGGCTTATTCCACAAGGGAGTGCCTTGTGGATTTGTTTGCCCTGAAGCTGGAGAAGATGTTGATACCAAAAAAAAAAAAAAAAAAAAAAAAAAAAAAAAAAAAAAAAAAAAAAAAACATAAACGTTTCTGCTAAAGTGGTTATTTTCTGAGTTTTTGTGTTGTATTCTCTATCTCCAGGTAACACTATAGTGGAGTACATGTCTGTGTAGATTTTGGAATAAAGCGATTAGTGTTTTTCGTGTCCCTAACTATTGCGCCAATTTGTTAACGGCTTGTCACAATGCCTAACAAACAAATAATATAAATAAAATAGTTCTCAAATGCACTAAGGGGTAGTAGAGGAAAGCAGGGTCGAATCCATAAGGACACGTCTTATGGTCTATGTATCTCTTGCGTAAGGCACTCACTAAATTAATAGAAAACAGAATGAGGGGACTTGCTGACTAATAAAACTAAATTGGACAGAATTTTATAAAAGAAAAGAAATGCAAATTAAATACTGGTATAGAATTCAAAAAATGAAAGCAACTTCAGTATCAGAGTGACTCTCCTAATCATGCAAATAACCTTCAACACGATACTTGAACTGTGTACTATTTAAAATGGTATCCTAATCATGCAAATAACCTTTCACATGATACTTGAACTATGTATTATTTAAAATGGTACTAAAAATCATTAATAAGCTCTAAGAATTTTCTTTTACTAAAATGTTTACCCAAAACAGACTCTTTAAATCAAACCTTACTTCTTACTAATTAACCAAATAAACTCTTAATTAATTTAGAAAAGTATCATTAAACACAATGTAAAATTCCCAGTAAAGTCCAATAATTCTCAGAAGCTCGGAAGCGTAAAGACTTGTTAGATCAGTTTATATTAAAGTTAACCCTAACACAGGATTAATCTAATTTATGTTAGTTTTATTGATTAATAAAGACAATTTGTCACACCCCCACCATCTGCGGAAACATCCAGGTGCGCGAAGCAAATCAGTGATCACATTTATTGAACATACATTGAACAGTATAAAATAAAATCTTCTATTATTACTGAAATAGAAAGTACATCGACCGTTGCTAAATCACTAGATACGCCTAACAAATTCGTGTTTACAATGGTATAATAAAATAATGGAAGCTCTTGTATTCAGGTCCTTCCATCCTGTTAATAAACCTAAGCATTCAAACGTTAAGATACATCAACAAAATTGTTGGTGACTTCTACAGGTTTTGACACAAAGTATTTTGATAATCAAAAGTGTTTTATAAAATTTAGCTGGTTGATCAGCTTTTATAAATACTTACTTTTCTATCAAAAGTATAAAATAAATAGGTTAACAAAATGTATTTGGACTCATTCATAAATATAATATGTTCAAATCCAGAAGTACAAAATTTGGAAAAATACACATAAGTAAATCAAACTTATATCAAAATTATTCAAAATTATACGATTCCCATGACCAAAATGATTTTTATATAAGGAATTTGAATGCCAATTCATATAAAATAAAGTCATATCACATCTTATGAAAACCTAGAATAGTCAACTTTACTCTAGAAACCTTGGACAAGCATTTGTATGGTTTATATGTAAAACTCATAAGTTTCAAATTTATAAACTTTGTAAGATAGTGTTGTGGTATTATTTAAGTATTATCTTACTTAATTTAGGAACCGACACTTAACTAGTGGAGCAAACTCCTCCCACATAAATATTGTGTTCTCATACAAGAACAAAGAGTTTATATAAATAACTTATTAGCTGGAAGTTATTAAACTTTAATCAGTCGTGTCGTGATATTAATTAATTGTTACATGTTTTAAGTTATGGTATTGACACTTATCGTTTTGATTCACAAACTATTCCACTATGTATAGTCACATTCAACTAGTGTAAGTGAACAAAAGCCACATACAAACACAATATTGATTCTATACGCTAACAAAAAAAACTGGATTATATATGAACTCATAATCGAACTCGTGACACTATACTTTTTGCACCGGCTCCATAATAGGGCATGCTAAATTCATTCACCTCGTTATAACATGTGTTAATGTTCAATGAAACTAAATGTCAGTGCCTAAATTCGTGTCGTCAGACATTAGTTGTAGATAGCAACTCCAAGAGGGCGGTCGAACGATATAAGAACAATAGTATGACACTTATACATGTCATTAGTCGTTCCTTGCAAATTAAGGATTATGAAATAACGGGTTTTCCACTAGGACACACAGTTTTACTATACCTAATAACATAACCCAAATGGCTTAGGAAACGAACCATTAATATGGCTTTAGAAACAAACGTGACACCTATAGGGAGACCCTGGAGTTTTGGATCCTAACAATGTGTAGTCCTAAACTTCCTGTTATAAGATTATTGAATATTTATGATTTTGTTGTTTAGGAAAAATATTTAATTGAAGTTTTCAGTATTTGAGATACGTAAGACTTAACAGATTTCTAAATTTCTATTGTCTGTTACGACAAAATTTGGGCAACATAACGACTGCTTTTATAATATGTTTGAGGCTTTAACCAACATGAAACCAACAATTCTCATGATATTTATTATTCACGGTAAAATATTTTGCAAATAACGATTCTTAAGACTTTAAGTCGATCATGTTATTTATTGCAATAGAAACTCATAACTTAGTAAATATGAGTTACATTTTTGTAATTAATATAATATATATTAATAAATTTAATATCATTTTTACATAACTTATATATATATATATATATATATATATATATATATATATATATATATATATATATATTTAAAGTTAAATTTCGATAATTTTAACTATTAATTATACAATTTCATAAATTTGTCTTTTCTACCAAAATATGACAATGTATTTTCATTTTATACGCAAGTAATATTTTTGATCATTTTCATTTCTGTAACTTATAATATCAATTGTGTTATTATAGCAATTTACTTATAATCTTGTGATTTTTCTTAATAAATAGAAAAGAGCCCCCGCATAGCATGGGTTGGATTTGGATTAAACAACTATCGAAATGAGGTAATAGTACATGGTTTATTCATTTATTTATTGGAAAGAAAAGTTTATCTAATCATTGGATGTTTTTTCATTAGAGGATGGTACATTGTTATCCTCTTATGGATTGACCCGATCATGAATGCCATATTATCCTCCATCGAAACTTGTATTACACTTTTACAAATGTAATGTCATTAGTGATCACACTCATACCACATTCCACCATTTCAAACTACAATAGTACATTGCCTAAATAGACAAACAAAGTTACCATACCAGTGAAGGAGGAACTCCATCTAAATCATCATGAGATCCTTTCTGGGAGTCTGATATACTCATAGGTTGACCCCCTTTTCCTTTATTGAAACTTGACTCACCCATATAGTCATTGAACAATGAAAACAAACATAAAACCCGACAATGTCAACATACTTTCAATTATATGAGGACTTCATGAGTAAAATTGCAAAAATATGAAATAATTCTATCAAACTACAAATAATAATATTTGGAACTATGAACTATAAACATTTGCATAATGTTTTTTAAATTAGAAACATACTTGCAATTATATTATGACTTCATGAGAAAACTTGCAAAATATGAAATTATTTTATCAAACTACAAATAAAAATAATTGCAACTATGAAGTATAAACATTTGCATAATGTTGTAGCCATGCAATGAGCACAAAGCGAACTATTCTTTCGCCTTTTACTAAAAAAACATTTGCATAATGTTTTTAAAATTAGAAGCATACTTTCAATTATATTAGGACTTCATGAGTAAACTTCCAAAAATATGAAATAATTTTATCAAACTACAAATAAAAATATGTATAACTATTAGCTATAAACATTTGAATAATGTTTTTATAATAAGAACGTAATTTTTTTTTATAGATTCACACTCATTGTATATGGAACTATGGGTCTCATCAAGCAATTTAACAAACATTGACATGAAATCTGATCACATGCATCCCTTTTTCAAGCATCTCAATTATGCCACTACAAACACCAGAAAAGAAAGTTTAGATAAAGAAGTAGGATGCAGATTTGATACATAAATGAAACCCTTAAATACAAAAATCATAGGAAAAATGAGAAATTTACCAAATCGCCCCTGAAAATCAAACTGACACAAAGTCTAACCTGCTCAGATCGTGTAACTGTTGTATTTTTTTTTTATCTGAATATCCCAATTGCTTGCGTCTTTCTTCACTACAGCCTTGAGATTCACCTAATTTCTTCTCTAAACCAATAGTGTGCTTCTTTTCCAACTGTAACAAAGTCGGCAAGGATAAAAGGTAAAATACCATTTAACAATATCTATTTCACGATTATAGAAAGAAAATCAAGTGCACCAGTTGTATTCGAAAAATAAGTCGAAAAATTAACAACTGGCGAACGAAATCAATATCTAATCTAACTATTTAAGTCACCCCCAGGCGACCTAATGCGATAATGTTTCAAACATTAGATTTTAATAAAAAGCATGAGTTTACTGATTAATTCATAAATCTAGTGGTGTTCTTAATTTTGGAGTGTAAGTAACACTAACACAAATAAAAGTCTGGTTGTTTTAATGAAACTCATACCAGATTACACATTTTCAAAGTAAAATAATAGATTGCCTAAATAGACATAAAAAACAATTTTTAAAAATGTGTTGCTATAAAAGTTTCTATTTAGAAAGCATTCTGATGAAAACAAGTTTGTATTATTACCGATGTCTTTTAGGGATGGGTGTGTTATTAGATGGCAATTTTTTTTTGTTAGCATTCCTAATCTTTAATCAACTACTCTTTTAGGTGCTATTGAAATAGTAAGTGGCTTGAAATGATAAGGACTATTCTACTCCATGGCATCCTAATTATAACAACTTATAATAGTAAATGGGTTGATTATTTGATAACCATTTTACCCTTCATCCTGTGTGACTATTTTACCCATCTATCGAACTCACATCTATCCAAGTCCATCAAGTAAAAGAGCACCAACACTAACAACCGAGTCATCCCTGCCATTCATTCATACAAAGCTTTAAATTTCAATAACCAAAAATATATATAAAAGGCAACAAAAATGTTATAAATTAATTATCTTAAAATTGTTGATTCGCCTTTTATGGCAGGGGGCTGCAATTTTGCAGTCATGATATCGTGATGGGTTCCAGATCCGTCGAAAGGCTGCAATTCTATCTCCTAATTTCTCCATTCTAACCTGCTTAAAACATAGTTTATATATAGTTAGTTAACACCCTTAATAATAGTGTTGTGTCCCAAATAATGAATAGAAAAAGAATAATCACCAATTAGTTAGAGGATGAAGGTAAGTTACAGAAAAAATATGAACAAATTAAGGCCAATACAGTATGAGAATAAAAGAATTAGTTCATGAATAACTTCAAAAGTTTTGATCTAACACATGTTCACACTTAAAAGATGAAGATATAAGATCCAGATTTGTTTACAGATTGACATATATGTGAAAAAGGACAAAGAGCATAAGAGCTTTGTTAAGTAAAAAAATCAAATAAGCAGGCATGAATTATAGAAGTATTTTTGGATTCCTCAACAACACAAGAAAGAGATGTATTAATAAAAAACTGATATTGGCATTTTCACAAACACTTGGAGTGCATCGTTTGAATAGATTATTGTGATTACTAACCTTCTCTAACAAAGAACACTTGCTTCAAATTACTTGGACGGGAAAGAACGAAATTCTGATGAAAACAGATGGTCGAGGTTCGCCTTCACATAAGATGGAAAATGCACGACTGCAGAGAGCACCCAAATATTGAGGTCTTGAACATGAAATTATAAATAAAAACAAAGAAAGGGATTAGAGCAAGGGTTGGATTATGATTGTTATTACCCAATTATGATGGACGCTAGGAATCAATAAGCCAAGAACCAAAATCCAGATAATGGAATATGATAGCGGTAGTGAGAATATGAGCTAACGTCTAGAAAAACTGATGAGCTTGCATGTGCGTGTGATTCAGAAGTTGGAAAAGGAAGCACAAATTTGCTCGATGTTGAACGTAAGTAGGCATGGGGGTGGGGAATTCGTCAGCTTCGCCTCCACCGGCGGGCTGAAATCAGAATCTCGACTGAAATTAGAAGTCGATTTGTGACCGTCACCGGCAGCGCAATCGGAGGAGAGGCGATTGGAATTTGTTAAGCGGTAGAAGAGGTAAAATGGAAAGTGGTGGGTCACTGTACCGATATATGGATCGGTGAATGTTGAATCGATGACAACAATCTTATTTCTATTGGGTGTTTAGGCGGTGGACAGTAACATCAGATAAAAGGAACACATTAAAAAAATTAAAAAAATTTTCTTTTGATCCAATAGGAACAAAGAATTGTTCCTTAAGGAACATAAAATTAATATGTATATAAATTATATTCATATTTCACATAAAGTATTAATATATCATCTTTTAACAATCTACAATAACTTAATAGATTTACCGGTGATTATCACATTTTTAGATTGCTGTTTCATAAACTTTTGACCAATAATAAAATATGATGCTATTTTGTACATAAAACTTGAAAATCATCAAAACTTTAATAGACACATATATTCTTCTCCAAATAATAAAACCGTAAAAGATGGGCCATAAAAACTTAACTCACATTCGATGCGTGATCTCGATTTAGGCTCAATTTTTGTGAAGCTTTTCATGTATAACCGCAAAGTCACATTTCATGGACTTTAAAACATTTTCGGGTTTGTTTTGTAATATTTTAAACTAAAGATACTTCTTTTTAAATGTTTTATATTTAAAAATGGTTGATTTGTAATTTATCTAACAAAGGGGACTAATTTGTGATAGATTAAATCAAAAGGGACAATTTTGATCTTTTAAACAATATAGGGACCATTTATGTAATGACTAAGTCGAACAGGACCCGATATGTAAAGATTTATGTCAAAGAGCTGATTTTTATTTACGACCACAAATACAAGGACTGGTTTTGCCAAAATTACCAAATGTAAAAAGGGGGCAACGGCGTGTCTTCTTCATCTGATCATCAGATCGAGCAAAGGAATGGTCGATCGAATGGAGTCAATCGACTGGAGCTCCAACAATAGTTAAGCAGAACCAGATCGCGAGGAAGAGAGAGTTGATCTCCGGCGGCCCTTTGTGGGTTTGATCTTTGTTGTCTTCTTCACAGATCGGGGAAAGGAGAGGATCGAACAATCGAAGCAGCAAACTGAGGTGCTTCGGTGGTGGCTAATAGATGAACACTAGTCGAGGAAAGAAGACGCAAGCAGCACCTGGCTGCTATCACCGGCAGTAGTGGTGAGGGGTTGCTTGGAGGGCTGAGACGATCGAGCAAAGGGAGGACTTTTCTCAGAGGTTTTTTCTCTGTAAAAAGGGTCGCCGGAGCTGTTTGCGACCGGAGATGGTAGCAACAAACAGGGATGATGGAAATGGGGTGTTTGGGGCTTCCTTTTCGATGAGAAGATAGGGAAGGAGGTGACTAGAACAGTTGACAGCAGCCCATCCTTTTTCTGATTCGTTTTTCCGGCGGAACAAGAGAAAAGAGGGAGAGTTTGAGAGAAAGAGTGATGAAGAAGGAGTGAATGATTGAAGGCAGCTATCGAGTGATCCTTTTGTGATACTTGTGTGATCTATGGGAGATTTGACAGTACATTGCCAAAGTCTTCAAGATATAGTGCTTGTTCACTTTGTGAGTGATAGTTTGTGTGTGTGTGAGTGATGATCGAAAATGAATATTTGAAGTTGGACATTCTCATGTACCTAATAGATCATCACTTTGACATTTTAGGTGTGATCTAATAGGATTTATGCATGTGGTGATGGTTTTGAAGTACTTAAAACAATATCAAAATACTATACATCAATGCATTATGAGTTTAACCTCTATATATATATATATATATATATATATATATATATATATATATATATATATATATATATATATATATATATATATATATATATATATATATATATATATATGTGTGTGTGTGTGTGTGTGTTTGCAGTGGCGGATCCAGAGCAGATATTAACCGGGGATAAAAATATTGAAAATAAGAAAAATAAGAAAAAAAATCTCAAATTTGAGGTATTGTTAAGGTTTTTTAAACAAAAACAATGATATCTAAGGTTTTTAAGTGGGGTGTCACTATATAATTCAATAAAAAAATATATATTTTTTTCTATTAAAAATTAGGATGGGCCCACCATCAAGTGGGGTCATGCACCCCACTTGTTATATAGTGCATCCGCCACTATGTGTGTGGTATATAGAGAAATCGAGATTTGGAACCAAAGATGCCAGGTATTAGGTCTTTTGAAATTATATATAAGGGTTATTGTCACTCTCGCCCAACTATCTTTCGTATATTGGTTTAAATTTTCCCTCATGACTATTTATTGCTTTTAAAGGGCTTATACTTGTCATTTTATGGTTTAAAAGGTCACATTTCTAGATTTGAAGGGTGCAACCGGTCACACCCATCTAACTAGGACGTTTTCTTATTCCACCTCAATGCCAAGTAGATTAAATATGTCAGGTCATGGCCACGTGTTATGTCACTAAATGAAAATATATCCGTTTAAACTCTCTCAACTGTCCCTTTCATTTATTCTGCTACCATATGCTTTGTATACTTTTTTTTCAAACCGTGATTGATACGAATCCATTTCTTAAACTCTTCCTCCCTGAAATCGGCCAACATAATCAATCCTATGGTTGTCTACATGAAGATAGATCTCCATTTTGCCGGAATTTTTTCGAGGTACCCTGCTATTTGTTATTCAGATGGTGGAGAACAAAGGTTCGATGATCTCAATTTTGCTGGAATGGACAAGAACGAGTTTGTGGGGTTCATTTAAAGATTCGCTAATGAGGTATGCATCAATGTTTACATTTGCATGCCCGATGTGGTTTTCCTTGATGGATTGAGGTTAATAGCTACTGATATAGACTATATGGACTTCATCGAAGTAGGCTATGCTTATGGTAGTGTTATTAATGTATACATCGACCATCTTGGTGTTAATGTACATCAATGGATCCTTGAGGAGCAAGGCGAAATATGCAGTTCATTAGATGAATTGTCTGATAGAATTGAAGTTGGTGAAGAAGTGCAAGGTGGTATGGATATGGATGATCGAATTGAAATTGAGGATCTGTTGGGTCATAGTTGGCAAGGTGTTACGGAGGATTTGCAAGGCACTAGGGAAGAGTTGCAAGATGGGGAAGGTGATGACATTAACATTGAAGTTGAAAATGATCAAGGTGATATGGAGGATCTGCAAGGTAGTACGGAGGATTGGCAAGGTAAGGAAGATGATGGCATTGACTTGGAAGTTGACAATGAACCTGATGAATGTATTCCTATGAATAGGACAAAAGATGATGAGTTTTGAGCAAACTGTGCCCAAATGACCAAGTTACCCCTAACAGTCCTCCTCATGAAGAGCTATATGAGCATGTAGTCGATGATGAAGTAATATCTAATAAGCAAGCTATTTATAATGACAATGTTCATTGGAAAAAACAGAAGCCTGTATTAGGTATGAGATTTGTGAATCCTAAACAATTGAAACACATGTTGTGTAACTATGCTGTTGCAAATGGTTATCAGTTATGCTACAAGAAAAATGATAGCAGGAGACTTTTAGTGAAATGTTGTTCTGATGCTTGCAAGTTTAGATTGTGGGCATTTTGGATGAGTGAGGAAAAATCTTTCCAATTTAGGAGTCTTATAAATGAGCATAATTGTGCAAGAAACTTCAAATTAGGTTCAATTGTCAACTATGCTTGGATAGGTACCCATTACACCACCCAATTCTTACAGAAAAAAAAAGTTAGTGTTAGGCTCCTTAGGGATGAGGTTAAAGAGAAATTTGGGATATATGTAAGTATGGGACAGTGTAGAAGACCTAAGAGGTATGCGATTGAGTTGATTGAGGGAACATTAGTGGATCAGTATGCAAAGCTATGGTCATATGGTGAGTAGATAAGAAGATCAAATCCTGGATCAACAGTCAAAATGGATGACAATGCTATGCCAGATGGTAAGACTTATTTTAGCAAGTTTTACATTTGTTTTGATGCCCTAAAGCAAGGGTGGAGAGGGAGCTGCATGTCACACCTCGAAACCGCAGGCGGAAACATTCCGGGGTGGAGGTGACTTCATGTTGAATATCATAACCAATGCACATAGTAAGCAAAGTAAACAACCATTACATTACATATGAAAATTTACAATTGTTTAAAAGTAAAGTTGTACAAGTGTTATACATAAGTATATATAAGCAAAAGTTAAGGCGTGTCTTTAATGCACTCCATCTTCATCAAAAGGATCATCAGGTACCTGTCTAATGCGGACCTGAGAATACAAGCATTTTAAAAATCAGCATAAAGCTGGTGAGTTCATAAACGGTTTAGTTTTCTGAAAGTGTACAAGTTTCCCTTCGGTTTCTGAAAAAGTTACGACCCAAGAAAATCCCATATTTTCTTATATGTAAAGTTTAGTTACTGTTTTGTTACACGATTCTGGTTATGTACAATTGTTATCCTAGGAAAATCCCATATTTTCCTAAAAGTTGGTTACCGATCCAAAATGTAATGTAAATACTGAAAACCTGGTTAGCCTTGTGAAGCGTATGTTAGTTTACCAATCCGAAATGTAATGTAAAAGATGTATACTGAAATGTATTAGTTTTATCACGTATATAAAACTAATAAGTACAAAGTAAACTAGTTACTGAATCCATTATTACTAACAAGTAAATCCCTGTTATCCAAATTGCGAGTTCCATAACCATACGATAGACTAGATATGGCAATATGTACTCCACATCACCTTATGACTTTCATCACCCTTGAACCTTTCGGTTCGGCTGTAGCTAGCAGCCAGGTGTGGGGTAGTCAGCCCGTATAGATCTATACATTCAAGTCACGCTCCCTATCTAAGAGATTTTGGTTATAGTGGTGGTCCTCCACTCGCGTATCTATGTGAAGTGTTCTCCGAGGATGTTTCTCCAATTTATAGGAATAACAAATTTACTAGTAATAATATAGAAAGATCCTATTACAAATGACTATCCTCCACTCGCGTATCTCTGTGGAGTGTTACCGAGGACAAAACAATGTACTAAGTTCATCTTCAAAGTTCAAATGTTATGCTTTTAACTATTATAATGTGGAAAACCATTTGTGAAAAATATAAAGTACAACATTTTATAATGTTTTTCACAAATAATACGATAGTGTGTTCTGCAAGTTCAAACGATTATTAGTTATGATTGTCAGTGTTAAAAGCATATGTAATATGAAACACAACACATATAAAACAAGTTTTGAGTACCAGTATTCCTTGTACTTTGCTTGTATTCTCCCCCTGAAAACAGTGAAAAACATTGAAAAAGGGTAGGGGTATGAACTCACTAGATGAGAAATCATGACGGTTTGGATGCTAAGTGTCGGTTCGAGGCTTGATAATGCACGAGGTTCCTATGTAATATGAAATGATATACAATTGTATCTAATTAGACTTTTAAATCACTAATTAGATATGATTATACACTCCAATACGAGAAAACACTTCAAATCAAGCGTTTGGAGTGACTCGGGTGACACCTATGGACGTGTAGGGCTTTGGATAATGTGTTCACTCTTCAAGAGTAAACTCCCTATGGAGTTTTCAGCCCTAAGACCAACTCCACATGAGTTCACGACCGTAAACTCATGGATGAGGGCTTTATGATGCTAAATGGTCAATTAACACTTGGGGATGGTTGCTATGATTTAATCTAAGGCATATGAATGAGTTAAACCACCGAAGTTACCATCAAAGGGAGTTTACGGCCGTGAACTAGGATTTTACGGCCGTAAGATCCTATACACTCCTTCTTTTAATGATTTAGTGGCCCTAGATTAATCATATGTGATTCAAACCAGTTTTACAAGCCTTAGAATGAATTTAGGGCATCATTTGACTTGTGTAGAGTTTACGGCCCAGGAACCCATTCTTGGGGGGTTTTGGTCGTGAACTCCCAAAAGGAAGGTTTTCGTCATGTTTAAGGCCCCCAAATTGATTGTGGTTGGTTCTAGACTTTAATCTAAGGCTATTGGTGTGTTTAAGTGGCATTTAAACACTTGAAATTGAGTATACTACCCATGATAATGAGTTTATGGCCCAAGCATGTTCTTGGGCAGTAAACTCATATTTACTCCCCAAAAGTTAAGTTTAATGTGTTCTAAGTCCGTTCCATTAAGCCATTTAGCCATTTCTAAGCTCCAAAGGTGATTTTTTGAGGGGTTTTAGGCTCTAAACCCAACTTATATGTGTTCACAGCCCAAGAGCATTCCGGGGCCGTAAACACATGTTTATGGTCCTAAATGATAGATTGAACATGGATTTGGAAGCTAGAAAGGTTGTACAACAAGTTAGGAAGGTTACCTTGATGAAATGGAGCTTAAATTTGATGATTTTGGACCTTAAACTTGGATTTGAGGTGAGAGGTTATAGAGAGAGTAGTGAGAGAGTGAAAAAGCTTCAAAATGAAGTCTTTTGAACTTTAAATATGTTCTAAGTTTGGGACACGGTGGAATTCTACCCAATACCGATGTTAGACGTGGCTTTTGGTCGCACCCGATTAAGTTGCCTTAACCCGATATGGCCGATTCTATAATTTTTCCGATTACTAATATGGAGTGTTATTCTGGGTTCTAAAGACGTTTGGACACCCATTAAGTCATAATAGAAAT